AGCAATCCTGCAAAACATACATATATCATACATTTCAACTTCGAACAAAAACACTAAATCTATATGTAATAAGATATTTGATCACAAAAAGATATTCTGCAATTACCAAAGTTCTAAAATAAACATTAAGTTCATTACACAATAAAAATAGACCATAAAATGTACAAATACATAGTAATGAAATATCCAGTAATAACAAAAAGTCTGATAAGAATCTGTTTCATCATTCTCATCCTCTGTCAATGCTGGCTGCTCTCCACTGAATTGCTCCTTCATTCTCTGCAACTCCTCCAATATCTAACTTTACTGCATCTGCATATGTATTTGCATGTCAGCTTGTGCTTTTCGAACTTAATCTAACTCTGTTGTAAGGGTAGCCACCTATTAGCTATGCAAAGCATCCTGGCTCCTCCTGAGAAGATGGAGCCACCAGAGGTCTGCCCCCTTGTATGCGTAGGCTTGTGAGCCTAATCCATAAACCCGTCCTTTATGTATTCCACTTATCGCTTGCGACCAAGTTGGGTAGTCAGAATAATCTGCAGATCCCCTAGAGGAACCCTCACCTGCTCCCAACCTAGCTTTCTCAAAGTCATGTATACTTTTCCTACAAAAATTAATATAAGATTAATCAATAATACACATGACACTTAATTATTAAAAAATGTGCAATGAAGGATAAATAATACCATTAGATGAGTTGATAAAACTAATTTCAGAGGATTACAAAGGAAAATGGATAGACTTAGAGATATGGATAAAATTCAGATTGATTTGCAAATTGCATTTTTTTTAAATCGATAGATGTATAGTATGCATTTTTCTTGATATTGATGGCATTGATATGCTAGTTTCAAATAGACACTATTATTACAACAATGATAAGAACATCAAGCCTTTATCCCAATATGAGGGGTCGAATCAATTTTCTCCATTTTGTTTTGTTAAGAATCAAATTCTCATTTAAATCTAATAAAAAGGTCATTTCTAATTTTTTAATCAAGTCATTTTGCGTCTACCTCTATCTTTCTCTTAATATAGGCCAAATGTTATACACCTACTATCATAACAGAGTCATCAGAAGTCCGATATTTTATGTGACCAAATCATCTATGGTGACTCTAGCTAATCTTAGGTATCATGGGAGCTAGTCTAACCTTTTCATGTATATGGTCTTTTCTCATTCTATCCCTAAAAGTACAGCCACTCATTTGCCTGATCAACTTCATCTCTGTAACACTTAACTTAATTGTATGCTTCTCTTTTTATGGCAACCATTCTAACACAAAAACAGGCTTGAAAAAACAGGTCACACACTCATCTTATGAAATTTTCACTAAAGTTTAAGGAGTATATTTCTATTACAAAAAAAGTCTGATTCATTCCTCCACTTGAACTATCCAACTAGAAGTAATTACTAAGGAATGAAAAAACATGCTCAAACCGAAATGGTGGCGTGTGAAAAACTTACGGAGAACAGCGGCGAATGAGACGACAAATGGTAGTACCAAGGCGAATGAGGAGGCGAACTACAGCAAACGGCGGCAAACTACAGAAGAGAAATCACGGTAAGAGGATCAGCAAATGACAGCGGGAATGGAAGAAATAACTTAAAGACAACTGCGAAGAATGGCGGAATAGGAAATAGGGCTTTTTTCGGCTGATCAGAAACATCGTCGGACATTATTCGACGGGTTTAAGTAGGCCGGCTGATATTTCGCCGGCTAATCCGCTTGAAACATTCCGGTGTAATTTCCACCGGTTTAATTTGTCGGCTCAAAAAAGACAGTAAGTTTAATTGACGGGTATTCTGCCAGAAACTTTCCGGCAGTATATCTTCCAGAAAACCCGCCGGACTGTTTCTATCGAAAATACTGCCAGTTTTTCCATCGATATTTTCTGCGGACTTTTATCCGTCGAAAATGCCAACAGTAATAATGGTATTTCATGTATTGTACTCACCCTTTAATGCTATGAATATTCCAGTACGCAACATTAACCGTCTTAGCATATCATCAACTTTAAATGTGATTTTCCTATAATTATGATAATCTTAATACATTTTTCTTCCATATATATATATATATCAGTGGCGACAATGTGTGGGGTTCGATTGATCGCCGGTAGAGGTTGGCGATGACCTGCAATTGATAGTTGGGTATAGTGGCTAGTGAGAAATAACTAGAGGAAACGTGTGACAGTAGGGGTAACAAGTGGCAGGGCGAAACCAAAGATGACAAAGTGCGATGGCGAGCAGTGGCTAGATGTAGCGGTGAGATGCAGTTGTTGTTGGGCAACAACTTGTGCTTCACACAAGCAATGTATTTGAAATTTGTCTAAATCAAGTAAATTTTAAATACATTAAAAATTAACTAGATATATTAAAAATGAACTAGATAGTGAATCTCAAATATGTTGAAATTTAACTACCCATTTATCTTATTTTAAACAAAATACCAGACTTTTCAAAGTCCTGCATATGATTTACTTTATACTAGGACTACTTGCAACCAAAGAGCCCCAAAAGTTTTTTTTTTTCTTTTGCATTTTATTTAAAGCTAATTAGCGATCGGAATGTTCGGCGGTAATAGCAGATTTTCCCAAAAGTTATAACTTGACCTTGTCAATGCCAAGTTATTCTATGTTTCCTGAATTTATTCATTTTACTCTTTTAAAGTAATTACGTTTTTATAAATCCCATTCCTTAGCTTAATTGTTATTATATATTTGATGTCTACTTCAATATTCCTTCTCCAATACCTAACTTATGATATTATATAGTTTTGAGTTTGCTTTTTATTCTTGTTGCAAAACTATTAGCTTTATAATTATTGTATGTCTTGATGATATTTACTTTTTCCCATTTTTGGAAAGACATTTCTTTTCCTTAAAGATATTTGTACCTTTTAAATTCTCCTTCAAGCCTTCTTATTTATTTGCAATTTATTTCTCTCTCCTAAAATTTTTATAATAAGTTTCTTAATAGAGCTAGTTTTATGGACATCATGCTTTATTCAACAATACATTTGTAATTTACCTCCTAACAATTTTTCTTGAAATATTAGCATCTTCTCACCTTTTAAATTCTATCATCTTTTCCTAAAAAATTAGCATCTTCTCACCTTTTAAATTCAATCATCTTTTCCTAAAAAATTAGCATCTTCTCACCTTTTAAATTCTATCATCTTTTCCTAGGGAACCATCTCTTGCAATTATTTTCTTTATTATCATTTCTCTCTCATGTTCTAGTTGTAGCTGTCTATTTTGCTTTTCTAAAATTTCTTATTGTGCTTTATTCTAGTTCATGTTGAGGAAAAAGAAACTCATCAAAAGTGCCAAGTTTTGATGTTTGTTGGCTTGCAAAATTTTCTAAGGGCTCCTTTGGTTGCTTGAAGTTAGAAATCAAGTTAGCAAAAACAATTAAGTGTATTAAATTTATCATTTGCCATTAATATTGATTTCAAACTGCACAAACCTCCAAAAAACTCCTTCAAATAAGGTTTTCAATTTCAACGTTAAAATAAAAACAAAATCCTTACTTTCTAAAGTAATATTTTTCATCTTTAATCCACCAAGAGGGACCTAAGAACAATGAATACTGAATTTAAAAAACTGTCTATTGTTTTCTGAATAATTATGAAATTTAGCAAGGGGCTATTTGGTTTGAAGGATTTTGGTTATAAAAATATTCAACTGTAAAGATTTTAGAAATGTAGATGTTTTGTTTATTGAAAAATAAATTCAAAGTAAAAATTTTGATAAATTTAAAACTCGCCCTTTATTCAAGCCAATCCGAAATAGTTAGGATGATGCTAATGATGAAGACAACAAAACTACATACCAAATACATCAAATGGTTTCATGCTGATTATTGTTGAAAAAAAAAAGTTGGTTTTCTTAGTTGGTGTGCAGCTATGCTTAAATCATCGTATAGCTAATCTAAAGTTTGATGAAGGAAGCGAATTTCATACCCAAAATACTACACTAGAATAGTTACAAGATTATAGAACATTAGCAGTCCATCTTTCTTTTCATTTCTTAAGCCTTTGTTCATTTCATTACCTGTAATGCTTCAACTTTTTGTTCAAAAATACTTTTTCAACTACCGAGCATGTTTCAAGGAAAAAAAAAACAGTATTACTTTTTGCTCGGCCCTTAGAGTGTTTGCTATCTGATTTATCTTTAAATGAAATCATGTATAGGCACAGATTATATTGCTTTGTTGCAAGGGTAATATTTACAGTATATTGGTTTGCCCTCATTAATTGTATCATTTGCCCTAAATTGGGTAAATTTTTTACACTTTCTTGGGAAAGTTAGGAAAATAGAATCAATTTATTATGCTTTATATTGATATATTCAATGCAGGTTGTACTAATATTCATGGAATAACATGTCTCTTTTATCCCGGGACTTGAGAAATCAACTTACCTGTTAGAATTATATTAGCGATATCAATCTGTTATTGTATAAATCATATAATATAACGTTAGAGTTATTAGTGGGTTGTTTACTTGCACGATTTAATTTATATCTTATCAAGCAGTTTTTTGAGCCACATAGATCCTAATATCATCATAAATCCCATTTTCCTCCCAATTAGGCCAAATCCTGGATTTAATAAATTCTCGGGGAAGTAAGATCTAAGATATTTACACTTCTCCTCATTGTGCTTTTTCTCTCAGTTTAAACTATAAATCTTTAAAATATTTGTCAAATAGTTCAACCAGGCAGGCTTCATTTGGGACGGCTTTTTTATTGCTTTTTAAAGCGATTTTTTAGTACAAAAATTAAAATTTTTATATTAGAAAGCCGCTTTAAGAAGCAGTAAAAAAGTCGTCCCAAACGAAACCTTAATAGCTAACTTATCAAATGATTTTCCAAGTTTAATGCTTTCAGGATTTAACATATCCTAGTAGTAAAAAAAATAATGTCACAATATTTCTAACTATATTAACTGAGTGCAACATATTTTTCTTCTCTCATTTATTATTCTCTTGAAGGTACCGTGCAATCACGAGTGCATACTATCGTGGAGCAGTTGGTGCACTCCTTGTCTATGATGTAACTCGCCATGTAACATTTGAGAATGTTGAAAGATGGCTTAAAGAGCTCAGAGATCACACAGACTCTAACATTGTCATCATGCTTGTGGGTAACAAAGCTGATTTGCGCCATCTTAGAGCTGTCTCTACAGAAGATGCTAAAGGTTTTGCTGAAAAGGAGAACACTTTCTTCATGGAAACATCAGCCTTGGAATCAATGAATGTCGAGATCGCTTTCACCGAAGTGCTTTCTCAGATTTATCGCGTTGTGAGTCGAAAAGCTCTCGACATTGGTGATGACCCGACAGCTCTGCCGAAGGGACAAACGATCAATGTCGGTATCAAAGACGATGTCTCCGATTTGAAAAAGGTTGGGTGTTGCTCAGCCTAACAAGTTAAGTGTTTTTGTTAGCACAAATTATTAGATGCTGAACAGTAGACAATATTCCGATTGGTTGTTCATAGATGTGAACAAAACACGTAATAATTTCTCTTCATTTGAGTGCAAATATTTGTTGCTGTGCGTCTCTTACCGTATAATTATCTTTTACAAACTCATTTATAGGTAGTGAGCATTTGTTATAGTGATTTAAGCCTTACGGTTCTAATTTTGACTGTTATATTCATATATGATGTAATGCTGTTTATAACTTTGTTATTTTTATATAAAACTTGTAAGCATTTTTTTTTTTTTTTTGAAAATTCATATATGATATATCAGCGCTCATTAAATGATCACTTATTTGGTGCAGATATTTGTTGTGTATCCTGTATTATAATTCTCTTTTACAAGCATGCAAATAAGTATAATGTGTTGGATTTATATTTATTTGTGGGTGACATAGGACCTCCTAACAAGTTGGGTGTGGGCTCCGAAAATTCAAGCCCCGGCTTCCCCTCGTGCTTTCGGGGGAGTTTTAAAGGATTAAGTTTCGGGGTAAATTTTGGGAAGATAGATTGGGTTTATAAATGGACAAAAATGAGGTAATTATGGGATCTTGATCAGGTCCATCATCCATTCCCCCACCATTCACTTTAAGTATGAGACTGTGAAATTCCCAATTTTAAATATCAAAATTTGCAAATACCAACCCATGCTGCTACTATACGTCAGATAACACATATTTCTACATATATAATAGACGACTAGCCTTAATCTAAAGTTCTCTCTTGTAATCAGGAGGGGTAATTAACTATAGGGGTTTGCATCTATAGGAAACGAGAACTTAGATCATAAATTCCTTGCAAAATGAGGGTGAATTCTCTAGATAGTTTCTTACCATATCACCAAAATGTTGCGGATGGTGTATGGATTTTGTTTTAAGTGGTTTGATAGTTAATTTCAATTTTAAATATTTTGGATTTTAATATATATATATATATATATTTTTTTTTTCATTTTATGACCATTTGAATGGTATTTTGAATATTTGTGGATTAACCCCTCTGGTTGAGATCTACATTTAACACGGCCAACATCGGAGTTTTTATGGAGAATTTTCTTTTATGTGTTGAACCGTATCGACTCTGTCAACTTGCCGATAGAGGACCAGGTTCGAGTCGGTGTTATACTTTTATAAGCAATTTTATTTTTGTTATGGGTCTTGAAGGCCTAACATGAATTATAAAATGAATACTCTGGTCAACATTATAATTGTATATTTGTTTGATACCTCGAGCCGTGTCGACTCCTATCTATCCACATAGAAGAATAAGACTCGAACTTGAGCTCATTTATTAACCCACGTAGCATCCCTAGACGTCACGAGTGTGAATACATTTCGTTCACTAAGGCCCAAACAAGTGTAAAATTGTATATGCACTTCTTTGTGTTTTTGTGTATGCATATTATAGTGCAAGTGTGGGGCATTTTGGAATATTCCAGTTGTGTGGGCAGCTGTCATTTGAATGTGTGCAACAAATGCCCATCAATAAATATTGTATGCATCTAGAATGAACCGCAGTTGTTATATGATAATTAACCTTGTGGATATCCATATATTTTCTTTAGATGTTACATTATAGTTTTCAATTTAAATATCTCCAAAAGCTTATTTAGATGTCATGCTGGGATTTTTATTTTACAGATCTCCGAAAGCCTATTTGGATGTCACGTTAAGTTTTCATTTTGTAGATCTTAAAGAGTCTTTATCTATACATTTATAGATCTTTAGATGCACTTACAGTCAATAATACGATTGACATATTAACTCTAGTGAAGTAGGGACCCATATGAGAGTGATAGAGAACTTCATACTTAGGTCCTTAGAGTGTTACTTTGTTGATTGACGATGGTTTATAGCATTGTCATCTTGTGTTCTTCTTTTGCCACCACTGTCACATTAGTTTCTAGCATTTTTTTTTTGTATATGTTCGATATTCATCAATTTTGCAATCATATATGAATATAATATTTTCATTATGTAATTGCATATATCATTAAGAATTTGCTCAAGCTTTACAGATTCACTAGCTTGTAGGACTCTATTTCCTCAGGTTTTTTATGGTAACCTTCAGTTCATATACATTTTACTTTTTGCACCTTTACATATATTTGTATAACATTTTTCATTTCCACTGACATTTTTGTTGCTTTGTGCGAGTCTCAAAAGCATAGCATTCGTAGTCTTTAGGAGTAGAACAAGGTTGTCGACTTCCTCTTCAGGCATAGCTTAGGAAATAGATTTTGTCTTCTACAAAGGACATTATACTTTTTTTTTTTTGGCTGATATAGATTTGTAAAATGATGAAATTTGCAAACTTGTATATGAATTTTCAACCAATAAAATAAAATAATTTTATAAATTTAGTTGGTAATGAGTTCTTCTTTTACTGCTCTTGTGACTTCTGTGGTTGATGTACTCATGGCTTTAGACACTCGTTAGAGCTAGCAATTACACTTTTTCCACAGTTTTGGTCTGAGCTGTGAGGTTTTGGTTCTTTCTACCCTATACTTTGTGCGACGGATATTGGTAAAGAATTATCTAATTTGCATACCTTCTGCCCTATGCTTATTTCTTTGGTGGGCTTAATGAATGAGTAAATGTTGGTGAACTAAACTCTTTAGGTTTCTAATAGGCTGATGGCGAGAAGTTATCGGTCCAAAGTTTTTTGCATAACGAACTTGTTGATGGTTACAAAATCCTTTTAGTTTAGTTATAGGCTCTATGTGAACTTTAGGATATTTCATTCAGTCATTTGCTTTGTGCGTTGGTGGACTTATTGAAGAAGAACTCCTTCGATCCTCGCTTTACACTTTACAAATTTGTTGAAATATTTACAGGTTTTATACTTAATCGATAGTACCAAATGTATATTATATATTGATCCTTAACCAGTTGAGGAGACTTCAATTTAACTCGAGTTTATCAGATTGGACTAGCTAGAATTTGATAAATCTTTATCCTCTGGTTGCTGAAATGGCAGTACCTCTACTACGACCTTTATTATGGCATATTGTGTAAATGAAATTGCCAGTGATTTGATCATATTTAGGCATGTTGGTTCCAATCTTTTACACTCATTAATACTTTAAACTTGAGCTATTGGAAATGCACTTCTTAATAATGTATCTACTGAAGTGAGTAGATTTGGAGTTATCCTTTATTGTTGAATATTTAGAACCTAGGCACATTCGATAGTTTCTCATGACTCTACCTTCCTATTAGAACTTTGATTCTCTGGTCAATTAAGAGAATTAGTGAACTACAGCTACTTGAACTTGTCGAGTCAAATTAGCCTTCGTACTTACTCTACTATAGGCCTTTCTTATAACATGTTGAATAAACTGAGTTAACAGCAATTCGATCATATTTGGGCTTATTGGATCCATCTTCTTTCACCCACTCAAACCTAATCTTCAGGTTGTTGAAAGATTTCAAGCTGTTCTATCTCGACTTGGTTGAGCACGTAGTCACAGAAGTCTCTTTCTAAATTTTTTAAAACTTTGTGCATTGTAGAATGCGATGTCCCATACTTTTGAGAAATCGCCTGCTTATATTTTTAAAGAGAAAATTATTGTGTCATTATGTACGAACGAATATACATGTTGATTATTTTAAATATTTATATGTGGATCTCGGCATGCAGCACGATGACAACCCTAATAAATATTTAAAATGTCACATATTTTGTAGGGTGACCTTAAAATAGAATAAATATTATATTTTGATATTTTAAATATTTATTTGGAGATCTCAACACATAGTACAATGCTGACCAAAATAAATATTTAAAATGCCCCATGTACTGCAAGGAGGTTTTAAATAGATTTTAAATATTTATTTAAGAATTTCGACACGTGGTGCGATGTCGACCCGAATAAATATTTTAAATATCCTTAGTTTTTGTTTGGTTGAAAAATATAAGTTGTTTTGAAAAAGTATTAATTTTCTTTGGGAATATTAACTTTTAAATTTTAAAATTGAACACGTCATTATGAACAGTATATCGCCTCGAGAGGTGATCATATCGTTCTCTAATGTGTTCAAATTTCAGAATTTTAATTTTATCCAGATTATCGTAGTCAAACTCAAAGGGAGAATCACATTTGACCTCGGAGGATCAAAATGGAATTTAATCAATTGTTTGACTATGCTAATATGAATTAAAGATCATTAATTTCTTAATCAAAACCATGATAATAATTGGTATATCTGTCCGAAGAAAGAAGATATCAATCATTATCGATCGTCTGAAAAAGATGATAATGATCGTCGGGTTTAATTTTTCCAAAGAGAATTAATTGAGATTTTGAAAAATTGATTTTGAAAATCAGGTCTGTGGATTTTGATTGAGGTTTGATTTAAATTGAGATCTGGGTTAGCTTAAGGCCAGGATTGGTTTGAAGTTTGAATTGATAAAACCTAAAGGGATTCTAGGGTCTAGGAAAATCCTAGAGTCTAGAAGTTCCAGGATCTAGAGTAGATCCTAAGATCTAAAGTTTAGAATAAGTTTAGGATCTAGATGGATCCTAAGGCTTAGAGTCTAGAAGAATCCTAGGGTTTAGATTGATCTGGGAGAATCCTAGGGTCAAGGTAGATCCTAGGGTCCGGGGTCTAGATTGATCCTAGGATCTAGAATAAATCCTAAGGTCGGGGTTCTAGGAGGATCCTAGAGTTTGGATTGGTCTAGAGATTAAATTGATCTGGGGTCAGGACTGGTCCAGGTGACCTCATACAAAAATGAGGTCAACAGTTTTATGAGGGATTTTGAAATGCATTTTTGTAATAAAAGACAATTTCAAAATATAAAATATGCATACATTGACAAATATACATATAACACTTTGATTATTGTATAGTACATTGAACATAAATTTTTTATGCATGATACTTCTTTAATATTGGTCGTTGATTTGTGGCATAAGCCTTTGACCATCCAAATTGATCAACTGATAAGCTCCTCGATGCACCTTCTAGATGAAAAAGGGTTATCCCAATTGGAAACAAATTTGCCACCAATTTTTTTTTTGTGGAGGATGATTGACCTTGTCAGTAGTAGGACCAATTCCCCTTCTTGAAATACTCAAGTATGCACAATCCAATCAAATTATTTCACCATTCTTACTCGGTAGATTTATAGGTTTTGTTGAGCATGTAATTTAATATCGTCGAGCGCATCGAGCTCTTTCATTCATAGGCGAGCATTCTTCTCTTGTGTGAGATCATGCTGAATAGCTACCCGTAAA